ATGATAAATGCACAGACAAAATCCTCACCTGTGAAAAAGCAGTCAATTAATGAGGTACGTAACTTATGCGACAGATATGCGATCAAATTCTGAATAGTCGTAAAATTTCCATGACGATATGGCCCTGCGAAAAAATGGCACGTTATCGTCAATTAAATTATGCTTGATTCGATTTTGTTATGCGATTCTTCAATATGCGAGGGAAAAAATGTCGCATCATTGTCAATTATCCGGCGGATATATGCGAAAATTTTTCGCATACAAGTAAATTATGCTATTGACTTGGATATGCAATTTCCAGAAAATGCGAATTCAACAAATAATGCGAATGATATGCGAAACGTTTTCGCACAGTCATAAATTTGCAAGGTCGATATAGCCCTGCGAAATAAGGCGCATAATCATCGTAAATTATGTTGCATTCGATTTTGATATGCGATTCTTAAAACTGCGAAAGATATTCGCATATTTGTAAATTATGCGTTGGATGTGGATATGCGATTACAAAAATGTGAAATGTTTTCGCATAGTCATAAATTATGCGTCCGCTTGGATATGCGCTGGTTCATTTGGACATGCGACTGTAATATCGCATAGCATTTCGTGAGTTTTGGGGTGTAAAAGAAGTTATTTGATGGGGCGGTGTGTAAAAGAAAGAATAGATTTATAATGGGGTGAAAAAGATTTTGACCCAATAAAAAATGAAGTCTTGCAAATTATCATGTGCATGCGTAACGGGCCGACCTTGATTATACTGTTTGTGGCCTTTAATTGGTCTGGTACTGGGACGTCCCGATGATTGACCACATAGATCTCCGCTCAAAGGTCCGCGCATAAAATAACCCAAAATTCTAATATTAAATCATGAAAATATAAAAGCAAATAAATTCATCCAAATAATAAATAAGTCAAAAAATATAAACACGCGGCTAAATTAAATGTATAAAATTACACCGTTAGATATATAAAACATGCACATTTTTCGACCTATCATCTCACTAACTTCAGATTGAGGACGGACTAAGGAAGGCATAATTTATGAAAAACTTATATACATGACAGATTGGCAAGTCAAAAAATAAAGAATGGAAATAGAAAGAAATACAGTCACCTCAGCTTTCATAATATAAATAGATCCTCAGATTATAATAAGTTAGATATAGATATTACCATCTCAGAATAACTTAAAACAGGACAGAGCACCATGTCTCTTGTCCATATATACATCACCAAAACATTGTTGTTGAGAAGAACCATAAGCACATCATTGAGGTAGGATTACTCTTGCTAGGCCTAGTCCCATTTGCCTCTATACTATTGAGATGATTCTTTTGCCAGAGGAGCTTATATAATCAATCAAACACCATCTAAACATCTTTCCTATGAGTGTCCTTATGAGAGAATATTCAATGAGAGACCAGGCTAATCAATTCTTAAGGCATTTGGTTGCTTATGTACCCACATCTTAGACCATTGAATAAGCATAAACTTGCGTTTGGATCTCAACCATCATTTTTTCTTGGTTATAATTCTCCAATAAGGGCTACAAAAAATTTCTTCCAATCAATAAGGTCATAGTTACAAGGAATATCATTTCTGATGAGACTATTTTCTTGGGTAAAATACTTTTTCCCATCCGAACTATCACGGTTTTGGCGCATCACCATATAAATTAATTTTTTTTACAAACCACCATATGAACTATACGGGTTTGTCAATATGCCCCTTAAACCGGATATAAAAGTGGTTTAGGGGGCACATTGACAAACCCGTGATAGTTCATATGGTGGTTTGTAAAAGTATTTAGGGGGCACATATGGTGACCAAATAGCTTTTTCAGTCAAAACCACTTTTATATCTAGTGTAGGGGGCACATTGACAAATTTGTATTGTTCATATGGTGGTTTGTAAAAAATAAAATAGTTTATATGGTGATGCGCCAAAACCGTGATAGTTCGGATTGGAAAAAGTATTTTACCCTATTTTCTTTATTCACCTTCAAAAACTCAACACAGGAACAATCACCAAAATTTTTAAAACAAAAGTTGATTCAATACGAATTAAAATCTTTTATTGGGCAATGTGATAAATATTTTAAGCATAAAACAAATGAACATTAAGCACAAGAACAAATTTATGATTCATATGAACAAAAGTTTTCCCAACGAATTTATATTCCGTTTTCATCTTAATTCAATCCTAATCATTCAGTTTTCCAGCCTCAAAAGTTAATCTAAAAATACAAAAGAAAAATAACAAAAACCTCGAGAAATTGTCGTTCGTAGGATTTGTGTGGTATTAGAGCTCGAGAAATTTAGAGCTCAAATGCTAGACCTCCAATTTGTGTAGTCGTCGTCGTTGTCCTCGTCCAAATGCTCGACCGTCGTTTCAATTTTTTCTGGTGCAAAAGGGTCGAATTTAAGGATGAGATTTCAAGTGCGACTTCTGCGAAAATTACGTTCACATGCTCGAAAATGTGAAAGATTGTGTGTAGGAGAAGCAGGGTATATTTGTCATTTGATTTGCATCATATAATTTTATCATGTTCAGTAAATGTTTGATTGGATTTGCCCTAAAATGTATCAAGTTTTGTAAACATAATATAAAAGCTTATGTGTAAAGGTGATGAGATTAATGTGTCCAATCCCATCCAATAAAGTAAATGATGCCTAAAGAAATTAAATTAATCAAATGTTTGAAGATATAATGGAGCATATGAAATATTTAGGGAGGTGTATTCGTTTAGGATTTCGAGTGACATTCACATACTTTTAAGATTTGAGATTTAAAAAAAAAAAAAAAAAAAAAAAAAATTGGAGATTTTTTTTAAAGATTTTTGGATTTTGGAGAACTCATGTGTATTCAATTGGGATTTGAAGTGACATTTTAAGATTTTTTAAGATTTGAAACTTTTTAAAATTATCAAATTATGAAGAAATGCTTTGAAATCTTAAGTATGGATGTGGGATTTCAAGTGGGATTTTGTATAAGGTTTATTTTGTTATAAATCCCACGAAATCTTAAAAGTCTTACCAAAATCCTCATGTCGAATAAATTAAATACATCATGATTTTGTAAGATTTTTAAAATCCCAAATAAATATTCAAGACTTTTAAAAGTCTTAACTAATCTAAATTGAATGCATCTGGATTTCTTAACAAATCTAAATTGAATACACCAGGATTTCTTAACAAATCTAAATTAAATACACCAGCATTTCTAAAATCTTAAAGAATCCTTAAAAATCCCAATTGAATACACTAAATCTGAAGTTGAGATTTTAAATAGAATTTCGTATATGTTTTTTTCCTTAAAAAATCCCAACAAATCTTAAAAACTTTTACAAAATATTAAATAAAGAGAAATGCTCAATTACCCACGATGGACACATGTTAATATGTCCACCGCTTATGTGGCATGCACACATTAGTGATGTTAATAGGTTAAAAAATACATCACCAATAAGTGTATGCCACATAAGCGGTGGACATAATAATATGTGCCCACCGTGAATATGTGAGCATTCCTCCTTAAAAAAAATACCTTAAAATTCTTTAAGATTTTAAAAAAAATACTTAAAAAATTTTAAAAATCTAAATTAAATACACCGTGATTTTTGAAATTTTAAAAAATTTTAAAATTTCTTGAAAATCTCAATTAAATATACAACAACATAAGTCAAACGTCCAAGAGTCCAAAAACATATAATTAGACAACTTCTCGTGTTTGATCCTTTAACCACAACACTGTCGGCGCCATTAATCACGTCAGAAAGGTAACGGAAAAATGAAACAAAAGAAGACCAAACAATACCACATTGCTCCTTCTCTTCAACATTCTCACTTCCTAAACAGTATAAACTGAGAACATTTTCATTTTTTTTTTATTTTTTTTTCAGATCTCTCTCCATTTCCACAGCTTTTCTTCTCTCACACAACAGTCAATATGAACTCGCCGGAGTTCCAAACCACCGGCAAACCACCAAATTCCCTAAACAAATCCCTGAAGTTTTTCCACACCCAATTTTCTTCGCACCCTCGTTTTGCCCTCTTAATCCTTTTCCTTTCCGCCCAATTTTTCGTCCTTTACTTCATGCGCCTCTCGCCGTCTTGCCTGGCCCCCGCCGTCTCCCACCGGGACGAATGCCCCTCCGGCAAGGTGTACGTCTACGATCTCCCGTCGAAATTCAACAAGGACCTGTTGCTACGCAACTGCACCGACTTAATCCACTGGAACTGGCAGTGCGGCCTGGTTACCAACCGCGGTTACGGCGGCCCCGCCGTCGAGCTCCGCGGCCTCCTGCCGGAGAATCTCGCCGGATCGTGGTACCGCACGAACCAGTTCGCGCTGGAGTTAATTTTTCACCACCGCGTTTTGACCCACAAATGCAGGACCCTCGAGCCGGAATCAGCTGCAGCGTTCTACATCCCCTTCTACGCTGGACTCGCGGTGGGGAAACACCTATGGCAGAACGACACGTGGCGGAGGGACCTCCCTTGCGAGGAGATGCTCCGCTGGGTCAAGGGCAGGAGGTCCTGGAAAAGATCCAACGGTACGGATCACTTTATGTCAATCGGACGTATAACGTGGGATTTCCGTCGCCTGACCGAACCGGCCAAACGCTGGGGCTCCAGTTTCCTCAACAGGGCCGATATGCAGGCCGTGACCCGATTCATCATAGAGGGTGCCCCGGGGGACCCACGCGACGTCGGCGCACCATACCCCACAGGATTCCACCCCGACGACAGGGAAACCGTCCAACTGTGGCAGAAATTCGTGCGCGAGCGTAACAGATCCAGCCTGTTCACCTTCATTGGGGCGGCCCGTAACTGGGTCCGGCGCGATTTCCGGGCCCTTCTGCTCAGGTACTGCAAAAGCGAACCGGGCTTCTGTCGGCCGGTGGACTGCGACGCGGCCCAGTGTGCTGCCAACTCATCTGTTGTTCTGGAAGCTCTGCTCGGGTCGGAGTTCTGCCTGCAGCCGAAAGGGGACAGTTTTACCCGGCGCTCGATTTTCGATTGTATGTTGGCCGGTTCTGTGCCGGTTTTCTTCTGGAAACGGACGGCCTACGACCAGTACCCGTGGTTCTTGCCGGGAGATCCGGAGAGCTACTCGGTTTTGATAGAGCACGAGAGCGTGAGGAGTGGTGCTGGGGTTATAAAGAGGGTTTTGACGGGGTTTAGCAAAGAGGAGATTAGGAGGAAGAGAGAGACTGTAATAGAGACAATCCCCAGGATAGTTTATGGGTTTGGGAATGCGGATTTTAAGGATGCTTTTGATATTGCTTTCGATGGAATTTTGGGGAGCATCAAGAAAGAAAAAGATTTGAGAAGGGGATTTTCGCATTAATAATTGCGGATTACCGTTTTCGGTTTCTCTTTTGATCGAAGTTTTTTTCTGTGTTAAAACCAAGGTTTTGAAAATCGAATCGGTCACCGAATTGGTGAAGTTACCGGTTCAATGGTTCATTGGTCGACCAATGGTCGAACATGTTTAATTAATATATAATTTTTTATTTATTTTTATATGTTTAATATATAATTGTATATATATTTTTATATTGTATAATGATATTTGCCTAAATAAATAAAGAAAAAACAACGCAGCGCGCCCGACGGTCGACTGTTGACCCCGGTAGTGGACCAACAGATACCGCTCCAACACCCGACTGACCAAGTGAACCCAGACGGCGCTGTGACCACTGTACCCGGAAGCTCCTTAATAGATGGCGTAGACAAACCTTATGGGCCTACTGTTGTTCGAGCAACAATGCACGCTGGTGCGCATTCGAAACCGAATTGGGAACAAACATATTATGCATATCTTGGAAAGCAACACGTAAACCGTCCACATATCTCGAAACCAATTGGTTCGTCGACTCACGAACCTCCATACGAGTCAAGAGGCGATAAAATTCCTCCGTATATTCATCAATGGAACGAGTCCCTTGTCTCAAATTCTGAAATTGTTGATAGACGGAACGAGAATAATTAAAAGGTGATTACAAAATTTAATCCAAGACGTGATCTTAAGTTGTAACCACCAAGCACCCACGCGCCCGCGAAGCGTCGTCGCAACGAGCGCAACACGTTGATCATCCAGGACACCTTGAAACTCAAGCACAAATTCAACATCGGCCCACCAATCTAAAAATTTCCGCAGCATCAAGACCTCTGGAAAACTCAGGAATATGGACCCAAAACCCTTGCACCCAACACGACGACCCGCCACCATCCAACGCGTGACCCAAAGCTCGTCGTTGTTGCTCCTCGCCGGTGAAGTCTCAGCCATCGTGCAAGCCCCAATCCTGCCGGAACTGCTCGCCCGTAGCGAACCCCAGCCCTACGCGACGGGACTGGGTTCACGAGCGCGACGGATACGATTTTCTCGGCAGTGACCATCAGGACCGAGACGAAGGGCTTCTGCGCGTGGGTTTTGGCTACACTGCGGGGGACGGACTGCAACATCGCGACAACGACGTCTTTATTTCACCATAGTATACCATTATTTTATGTATATAACAAACTTTGATATTACAAATTTAGTTTAGATATGAATAAAAAAAATATCAAATGTTCGCGTACAACTTTACACTCAAAAGTGCTAAAACGAAAAAATTTGCATATAATGGTGAAAAAAAGCCACTCAAAACTTTATTTCACCATAATACACCACCATTTTATGTATATATATCAAACATTAATAGTAAAAAAATTAATTTTGTGATGAAAAAAAAGGACCAAAAGTTCGTGTACAACTTACACGTGAAAATGTGAATATATAAAACTCATAAATAATGAAAAAAATTGTCTCTAAATAAACTTTCTTTCACCACAGTACAAAAGTATTTTATATATACAACAAACTTTGATAGTAAATTTAGTTTTGAGACGAAAAATAAACGACCAAAGACAGTGAATAGTAGCAAATGTAACAAATACAACAATTAAAAAAATTGTAAAAATGGTAAAAAAAGCCCCAAATAAGCTTTCAAATAAGCTTTCTTTCAACACAGTTCATATCATTTTATTTTTTTAATATAAACCTAATATAAATTTAAATTTATTTCATTTAAACCCTCTTTTTTCCGACTGCGATTTTTTCCGCAATCTTTCGTCGCCTAATGATCAATCCCCGTCGCCTTCCTCTCGGTTTTCTGACTTGACGCCAGTTGTTCCCGCGCCGCCCGGCCCATCCCAGATGTCGCGCCCTCCTCACCTCTTGTATTGGTGGAAGTCATGGTCGTCAATCCGATTCACCCTTTCAGGCAGGTGGGTTAGGATTTGAGATAGCCGACCTCTCCGGTGCGGTGGCGGGTCCTTGGGTCGTGGTACTCTGGGTTTGGGTCGGATGCGGCTCTGGTATTTTGCTTTCTCGGGTCAGTGCGTTCTGAGCTTCTATGGCGGGATTTCTCTCTGATTTTGCCCTTGTCGGATTGGACGGAAGTTTTGGCAAGGTTTTCCGGTCACAGCGGTTTTTCGAGGATCTGTCGGTCAGCTCTGTACTTTTTCGCCGGCGGATTGGGGCTTGAAGGTGGAGCCGGCTTGGTTGTCGACTGATTGGCTTCGTGTTCGTCGGTCCCGATTACTGGTGAGTTTCCTCTTCTTGTTGCTCTGTCTCGGTTTTATTTTACCTGCGACTGGCGGTACTCCGTGCTTTCTTGATTCTCTCCGACGGGTGGCGGAGCTCTGTGGCTGCGGCTCTTTGTTGGAAGAATGGTTAGTGCCTGCGGTTCGGGGGAGAGGTACTTGGCGTCTTCGTTTCTTCGGGTTGGTGGTGCTGGGGTTGTGACGTTGAGATAGCTCTTGGGTTCAC